CAATCAGCTAAAATCACATTTTATTTGACAAACAGTACTCAAGCTAAAGATCTGCTCAGTTAAAATATCATTGTTCTTGGTAAACTCAAGTATACTAGGCACAAGAAATAAGGGAACCCCAAAGTAGAATTTATAGTTACAATGCTACATAAAGGTTGTAAGCTGATTGCATTCGAACCCAGATCAGAAATCACTTACGGCTGACAGTCATCACCATGTTACCTTTACATGATACACGTGCATCATGCACCATATGTGCATTCTAGCCTATAAAACTGACAGTAAGCGTGTCCCACAATCTCTTAGGAAGTCCAAAAGCGTCATTTTCTGTCTCATCAATCTTTACTGTCAGACAGGGGGCGTTTAAATGAGGACCGGTCGAGGATGACGCCCTAAAACCATCCCCAGACAAGACAACTTCCTGAGAACTATAGCTCTGAGGAATCGATTTGTTACAGCCCTGGATTTGAAGATGGAATTCTTCAGAGCCACAGGAACACGGATTTCCAACTCTACTGTATGAAACAGGCTCCGTAGCAGAGGTCTTAAGTCAAGACGTCCGTTCAAAGGCGTGATGATGACAGCTAACCACAGACGTCTTCGTTATCAGTGGGCTCAGTAATGTCAGAGGTGGGGCAACCGGTAATGGTGACATGTGATGTTTAGTGATGAATCCCGCTTTTGTTTAAGATTCACAGATGGACAATTTCGTGTGTGGCGACGCCCAGGAGAGCGTTATGGGAGACCCTTGGTACAGGAACATGATTCTTATGGAGGCGGCTCTATCATGGTCTGGGGAGGAATTTCTTTAAATAGGAGGACTGATTTGATTCTTGTACAGGATAATTCGACATGCCAGCGGTATATGGACAAGATCTTAAGGCCACACATAATTCCAATGGCTCACAGGGCAGGTCGAAGTTTTGTGTTTTAGGACGATAATGCACGTCTTCACAGAGCTCGTGTTGCCGTGAACTTCTTGCAACAACAAGGTGTTACAACTTTACCCTGGCTGGCTAAAACACCAGATCTATCCCCTATCAAACATCTGTGGGATGTATAGGGTGTCGAGTGCGTCTCAGGGAGCCTGCACCAGCAAATCTTGATGTGTTAGGTAGAGCAGTGCAGCAAGAGTGGCACTTGATTCCAAGGGCGACAATTAAACGGTTGGTGTCCAGCATGCCTGCAAGGTGTCGTACATGTATTGCTGTTCATGGTGGACACACTCGTTATTAAGTATATCTGACGTACTTACCGTACGGTTGTGCTGACTAAATTATACATGCTTCATAAAGTCAAGGGGTTCCTTTACTTTTTGTGTCTAGTATATTTTAATCCATGTCTTTTATAGTCATTATATACAAGCAGGTAACCCTTTCAGCAAGTTGTCAGGGTAACTATGTCATCTAAGGGTCTCCACACACTGCTTCACACAATGTACCCATGTGGGGAATTGAACCTGGGTCTTAAGCATGACCAGCAGACATTTTAACCATTAGGCTACCCCACCACCCCTAATTTTAAATAGACCTGATTCAAGCAGTGGAGACTCAGGTCCAGAATTGCCAGTGATCAATATACTGTTTGTATGGTTGCTGATTTTCTCTTAGATCATCTGGAAGGATCAGCTCCAACATGGCACTTCGGAAGGCTATTGCACAGTAGCTTCAATCCTTGCCAAACAAGGAATCATGCTGGAGAAAGATCCTATACTCACTGGCCTGCTCTGTTTATTTGAGATCGAGGATATCTCAAAACGATGTATTGCTATGAAATGTATGTAGTATTATCAGGCCTCCAGCGTCAGGTGTTTGAGCCTATGAACAGAGCATCAATATCCTATCTTAACTGGAAAAACTCTTTCCTTTTGGTATCAGAGCTGCATGCCTTTGTTAGATCATGTTCTCCATGGATCCAGCAAGAGTTACACTGTAGGCTTGTCTGCAGTTTCTTGCTGAGAACCAGAAGTATGCTAGGGGACCATTAGGACTGCAATCCTACACTATTCCAGTTCTTGCCCCATCGTTATAATGAACATGACCAGATAAAGTTTTATGCCCAGTCAGAGCTCCAAGATTGTATATTCAGAGAACTGAACACTCTCTTGATTTCCTGTCAAGAAAACTCAAACAAGGATATCACCAAGGTTAAGAAGACAAATTAAATTTATTTCTTACACACCCGTGGGTGAGAAACCCATGTGAGAAAACTGGTATCACACATATGTGTGAGATCGATTTCTAATCCCGTGATTGGCTACTCCATGGTGATGACCTAAGGTCAGGGTATGACGGACTACTTTCCTGATTAAAATTCATTGATAAGTTACTCGTGCTTCAATCGAACAGAAACCTGTTACTCGTGCAAAAAATACCCCCTTTACACCTACCTGTTATTTTCGCGATTGCAATATAAACAGGTATTTTACAATGAGTCACAAGTAGAATAAATATAACACAAATCTATTTATTTTCGAATTCCTTTTATTAAAACTCTTATTTCTAGTCATGAATTCAAAATGGCTCCAACAACCTGTGATACCTGTGTAAACAATTATGTGAAAATCACCGTTAGACATAAAGCCCTTGATTCCCTTCGAATATTCAAAATGTACAACACTGGTACTTTTACTGGAGAGATGCGACAAGTGTCATGTGTCGTCTTGCAAAAATACCTGACACGATAACGTCAGTGCCTGTCGAGAGATCAATTTGCCTTGTTGTTTCTTTGATGCATTGATGAAGATGACATTTTTCACTGATACATATGATGGAGACTCACTTCCAGCTCCGAGATACTATGTGATTCTAATGTTATCAAATTCAGTCATGACAATCTGAACCAAAACACACTCGTTGAAACAATGTTAAACATGGTACGTTTTGCAAGGCTTTATGAGTGCAAATGCCGGCACACGTCCGTTCTGTTCAATCGAACATGTACAGGAACGGTTGATCTACACATAAGTCATTGCTCAAGATATTCCTCTGACGCATGATAATGAAAAGTTTATGTCTTGATAACTTACAGGATGTAATCAACTCACATTTCATACTGAAAACTCCGTAAACTCCATTACATTCCAAGTGGCAGTTTCTGGCTCGGGAAAACGAGAAGGATGTGGCGAAGAAGAGTAGTCCCCCCATTGACAGTGAACGTAACCTCAGCAATGTCACATTCAAGCACACTGGGTGCACCTAATTACACACACTCAAAACCTTTGGCCCCGGTCGATGGTAGAACATTGAGCGTAAACTGGTACACAAGTACAGATCCCCAATGTGCAGAGATATCCAAAACAATCTTCCGATGATGGCGACAACCACCAAGCGATAACGATGGCGTCCTGCGCTCAAATATTTACGCTTGCATGAATTAAAATCATCCACATTTGCATGGTAACATCATCGTTTTAGAGGGTTTAATTAATTTTCAGTGATCTTATCTAGTTATCATTATCACCATTGCCTTGATGATGCGAAGAGGTGGCAGAAACTTTTTGTGGAGGGTCACCATGGGGATGAGTAGTGATTAGGAAGCCAAGTGGCGTCACTCATTCATAAACGTTGTGTTGTGTATTATTAGCACCCACGATTAGAAAACATGAAATTTGAATCTATTCGACCATAAAATGATACGATTTATGGTGTGTAAGAAACAGATTACTGTACTTTCGTGTCTGTCAGATACCATTTATCTTACAACTTCGTTGTTTGAACGTATTTAAATCGCTTTTTTTCGTTACAACTCGTTTTGAAGATAACTCGTTGTAAGATAAATGGTATCTGACAGACACTCGTTTAGTAATCTCTATTTACCCCATGGTAGAAGATCAGGCCCCAGCGTTTGGATCTCTAAGGCGACATATCCTCTTCTCTTGTGTCCTGGAAAACTTTATCACAGGAACAGAATTATATCAGCCTGTCAAAGGCACTATCTAACACATTCACCTCTTTGTACCAATGTGACGTCAGAGAGGATCTAAACGGTCTTCATGACCTGGGTTTCATCATGGCCAGTCCATTGTTACTGCCTATTCTCCTCCTGGGGAAAAAGAGAGGGTAAGTTAGAGGAGGGTGCACGGTCAGTTGCCCAATGGACATGCTAAAACTGCTAGATTTGACACCCTTGGATTGGACATTGCCTTGACTAGTAGACACATCTTCAGTGACAATAACTAACAAGTGACAGTGAATGACAGATTATCTTTCCCTGAGTTATATTAATTACATAATTCTCGAGCCTTGGTGAGAGAGTTACATAATTAATATAACAAGGGTAATCTGTCATTCCCCGACACAAGTTAGTTACTGTTTTTATTACCCATATCAGTTTTCAGTCTGAAAATACACTAAAATGAAAACAGGAGTTCTGCGTGTGATGCGACTTCATTTCATTGGCTGGAATCAGCCAATCAATGTTCACCAAAAGGTGTAACCTCCCTAGGGACATATAGGAAAAAAATTGTACCCTGTGTCTTACTTCCCATATGGGTAATAAAGGATTGCTTCTTACCAGACAAATTAGGACTTGGTCATGACAGTCATTGGTCAAATGTTGCAACAGAACTTCCCTTGATCTTGGATACTGATAACTTGCCATCACGTTACCTTAAAAGTCTCTGTTTGTGTTCTCTTCAGAATGAAACATAATACACAACATTGTAGGAGACTGGAAACAAACTAACATAACCTTAAATAATGCAGTTTTTTTTTGCTGAGGTTGCCTGACAGTCAATGGGGAACAATACAGTGGAGCATCTAATAGGCAATCACACTTCGATGATTCTAGACATATGCATTGGTGGATCAAATGTTCTTTCAGACAAAGATATGAAAATTTGTTGCTAGATCATGAACTCATTCATGTGTTCATACTTACGCATGCAATCATAGCTGAACAGAGATCATGGAATCAAACCAGAGATATCACACAGAGAGAGAGGGCGAATGCAAAGGTAAAGATTCAGCTTACACATTGTGTTTGTGTTGCCTTTCTAGATGGAGTCACTTAGACATCGCCTGCATAGCACCACGACAGAAATGGAAATGGCATCAAAGGCATGGAATGATCTTGAAAGGTTAGTATTTAGTATCCATAAAAATCTCAGATGATATGAAATACACTACCTGTATTGATTCATATTTTATTCTTGTATTACTTCATGGTCATTTGGCTTTACAAGTCCTGTCAACACTGGGACCTCACCTTTGGTCCAGTTAGTCTGGGCTCAGATGATTTTCCTTCCAGCAATCTATTAAGCAATAAACAAATATGATTTGCTCAAACAGATAACTGAACAATGTTGCTAACATTCCAGTTGATCTTTCAGATCTTTCATTATGGCAGCATTGTCATAGTTTTCAATACACATGAACGGAGCAGATTGAAATGTGCAAGATTATTTGTGCCAATGACATATCAAAGGCTGAAAATTCAACAACTTTGTTTATCATTTATAAAACTAATGACCGCCTCCATGGTGTAGTCAGCCCGGAGAGCGGAAGGTCGCGGGTTTGATCCCCGACCGCGTCATACCAAAAGACGTTAAAATATGGTTCTTGTTGGTCCCTGCCTGGCGCTCGGCATTAATGGGTACAACAAGGACTGGTCGGCTCGGAGTCAGTATAGTGTGTCTGAGTGGGGTATTCATGCTTCACTGCGGCATGGTATCTCAGTAAACTAGCGCTATAAACCCAGCTTAAGTCTGGGCTAGTACAAGCAGCCACACATACATGTACACACGCATGCACGTTGTCATATGAACGAAATATTCTCAAGCACAACGTTAAACCCAATTTCACCTCACCTCATATAAAACTAATTGTTTAACATTATTAGGTACTACATGTACTCAGTTACATGTCAACAATGGGGCAGAATGTAATGATTTATTATCAGACGACACGAAAGAATAAACATAAACATGGTTTTGTCTTCACTTGATGTTTCAGGTGAATATTTTCAGAAATGTTTGCCCATCACTCAATTGATACCCAAACATAATGTGCCAATTTCATAAAATGTAATGTGTTTAATGCTATTGGATGCCCCTTGGTAAAGCGACATCACAAAAACAAGACTTGGCAATCTCTACTTTTGCTCAACTTGTGATATCAGTGAAAGGTTCTGTATAAAAAAAATTGTAAACATTTATTACATTTTTTATTATGCTTTTTGATTTGTGCTGACCTGAAAGATATGAAGCTGCATTGATGCATCATATATTTAACAGGGAATTCCAGCAGAGCAGAGTTGCCTGGGAAAAGGAGATTGAGATAAAGGATGAGGACATTGAGAAGATGAAAGAAACTAATAGGGTCAGTGGGAAGATTACTTGCTTTAACATTTTTCATATCATATGTGCCACAGTAGCACCTTCAGGACTTTGAAATTTGACAAAGGAGCACTGAATAATGTCATTAAGGCAAGGTCACAAACATCACTGAAAATATAACTTCCGCACTGGTAAGTTACTGATGGGTAAGTGGCCAGAAATAGCATTCACATTTCGATATGTTTTTTGTTTCTCCTGCAGACAGTGTGTAAGTCAGTGTATACTACTGTTATGATTGTTTAGTGGAAAGATTGAAATACATTTATCTTCAGCCTATTATACAACACCAACAAAACACTCCACATTACTTTTTAGATTTTTGTTGCACTTCTGCAATCAATGTTAAAAACAGAAATACATTGCTGGTATGCATCCTGGAAGGTCGGGGTATATACTATATAGTTGTGTCAAGGAATTCCGTCTCTCTGTCCATCTGAAAACAATTTGTTCAACTAGTAACTTGAAAACTACTGGCTGGATTGTTTTCAAATTGAGGACCACCTTCTATGTCTAATGGAGAGCTGCAATGCAAATTGATTTTGATGTTTTAATTTTTTTAAAGAATCACAGCAATCTACAATTGAGTCATTCCATATTAATTCGACCAAGACCTCCCAGTTCATGTCATCGATTTTCTTAATTTTTACACAGTGTATAGAACATACATGGAACATAACACATAAAATATTTATTTTCAATTCACATTGGTTTTGGCACTTGGGGGGTTAATCCATGACACATAACGCTTTTCTTTCAATTACACCAGTTAAAGAAAATCATTCACTACAAAGCTTTTTTTTTTTTATATCTGGTTTTTGGTCAATATGTTGTCAATATAATTTTTTATTATCCATATGGTGAAACATAACCAGTGTCATATATATCATATTATAAGTTGTCCACTGGTTTCGAGGGGGACATGGGCTGATGTTCCATGAGCCTGAACATAAAGAAACATCAAGGGTACATCAACCCATGGGCCCCGAGGGACCAGTGAACAATGTATTTATCTTACCGAACACCTCAGTGGTAATTTTGAACTGTTTGAAGCCCGAGTATCGGATCATAGATTGGAGTACCAGACAAGACGACATGAAAAACAAATTTAGAGTTATCTCCCTTCCATTCGATTTGCATTTGCAAAACATCAGTAATTTCCATACACTATACATGATTCAATGTTATTCGAGATAAAGAATTTCTACTACGACGTACCAAATGAGTTCGGTTTTCCCAGAGTGGTACATAGAAAATGTTACTCGCTTGCAAGAAAACAAAATTTATGTGTGAGGCAAGATAAGTGCACATGTGCACATATCACCTTTGCCTAGCAACCGTTGTTTCTGTATTTTGTCGTTTGTGACGTCATTAAACAATGGAATGTGATGTCAATTAGCAGGGCCGTCACACTTGCTTACCATGTTTTACTGCACAAATGTACATGAATAAAATGGATAATTATACAAAACTCATGCAAAATTATGTATTGCCCGAGCAAGTGCTCGGGCAATACAAAATTTCACGCTAGTTTCGTATGAGTTGTATGACACACTTGCTCATGTAATAATCTCTATGTAGCAGCTTACATTTGCGATTTTCATACATTTGAGAAATAGGCTAAGTTATGAGTGTGTAAAGATTGGTAACATTTTATACGATTCCGGAAAATCTCTTTCATTTGACGTGTAATTTCAGCAATATTTGATAATCAAAATGGAAATAGCTTGATTGAAGAATGAAAGTATTAATCAAACATATTATAACAGAATTCTTATTATTTTCACACAGTCTTATTTAGCCTGTACATATTTCAAGATACATACCGTCAGGAAAAAATGGAAATTCCTCCATATTCAAGACTCTCTGTTAAAAAATTAAAGAACAACCTCGCACGGTTGTTAACATTTTTTCATTAATATTTCATTATATAAAGACTAACATATTAAAAAGTCATGTGGGTAAAATTTATAGTTTTCGAGAATTAAATATAAATTGATATAGCCTTTTAAAAAAAATGGGGAGTGATTTAAGGGGAGCTTCATTTGTAGTAATATCAAGTATATGGTACTCTATGATCTCTAAATATAACTGAATCAAAGCACTCTTGTCCATAAGCAAATATTCATGTTGACCTTGATTCTCTGAAATGATGGGCTTCCAATTTCCGCGAGGAAGATTCGTTTTAGCGAATGTTTTTATCAGTTAAGAAACACCAATACATGCATTATGGATACAGTGCTAAATATGTGCTGCATATGTGACACATACGCCAAAACGCTTTCTACTTTGTAGAAAACATTTCTATGAAGATAAATAGGAAGATCCATGTGCAGTTGTCATAAGGAATCTTTTGTCATGTGCTGCGGTTGGCAGAGGATAGTGTCTTCCTTTTCTGAGTATCTTTTGCATGGCATTTCAGTTGATAGTGTTTGGAACTTTGCTTTTGAATCATTTAATCAAATTGAAATCAGTCATAATTTGTTTTGTAGCTCTACTAATGTAAAGAAATTATGGGCGTAAACATTCCCTCTGGGTTATGTTAGCCTTTTCCTTCATCACCTGGTGATGTGTTACAGACTCCCTTAAATAAAATTTAAATAACTCAGGGAAGTAATCCTTACCTAGATAAAACCTGGTCCCGCTGATTACCTCCCTTGACTTGCTCTTCTGCCAGTGATATCATACACGTGTCATATTTTCCTCTGTACTCACTGAGTGAAGACGTTTTGGGACTTCCTTGGATGTTCTTCATTTGTTTTCTCAAGTTCAACTTCATTCAGCGATAGTCACGGGTTAGTTATGTCGCATTGGTCATAGACAACCGTATTCTATTCATATTGACTTTAATTTGTGTATAATTGTGCATTGTGACTTGCTTACATTTTCCCGCCAAAATTGCCCTTACGTGCGCTATCAAGCACTACGGTATCATGTCTCAGAGGAAGTGTGTAGGCTGCCAGGGCTTTCAGTCGGATAAGGACCCACATTCCCTATGTTTGTCTTGCACTACAGACCCACCTTGTGCTTTAAGTGCCCGTTGTTTACTGTGTCAGGATTTGTCGGAAAATGATTGGAATATCATGAATGATGCTCGGCTTAGGGCTAAGAAACGCAAGCCTTCCTCATCTGACGGGGGTAAAAGCCTATATGTAGTAAACCTTCCACTTCGGAAAGTACTCCTACTCCACAGGCATTGGACTTGAGTACATTTTCCTCTATGCTAACATCCCTTAAGGATGATTTAAGTGCGTCATTCGGCTCCGCTCTAAAGGACTTAGAACAGCGTAGTTTTTCTAAGATGAAGGAACTTAAACGTTTGATTGCTGTGACTCGGATAGAATATCAATCTGCACCTATTCAGGAAAATTTAAATGTACCCGTTGATAGCCGCCGTACCCGGTACTTCCACGGCTACTCAATCCCACTCTGACGCACTGCCGACAGCCACAGAGTTGTCCCACTCTCAGATAACACAAAAACTAGCCGTCCCAGACAAGACCATGGAGTCGAGGTCTGCCGGACCGGGCATAGATACAACCCTTACGGGTTCCATGGCTCCCGAGCCCGCTGTTATCTCCGACCCGTCGGACGCCACGGCTGTGGTGGGCCCGTCTGCCATGGATCATATTAACATAGATAACCCCCCAATCATTCCTATATTTATGGATGTCTCGGACTCGTATCCCCATGGCATTTATCCGGTAACAGACGCTGAAGTCTCTCTGCATGAAGGAATTCTTACGTTTCTGTCCCTGGACACGGAGGCTGCGGACTTTATTCCGGGTTGGGCCTATACAGATAAGATAGCATTATTACATGAATTGAAGCCGTGTACTGTACCGCCGGTTTCCACGGCCATACCCTCGGACCTCCCGGCTGAACTGGGGTTGTCGGGATCATTGGCTCCTCAGAGGATACCAAAACTAACCCTACCGCATTCCACGGTGGTCCACTCTGGTTTGAATACATTTCATCTATCCCAAGTATCCAACGTACAATCACTTCCGAGGACAGCACTTAGGCAGTCATACGGCATCCACGATCGGTTGTTTCCTTATGCTACGCCGGAGGTAGATAAGGATTTTTCATCTCTGGATCCAAGGGCCTCCCGCCTGTCGACTTATAAAATTCCAGTTGCTCACAGAGATTTAAAGGACATTGATCAGGTGGCGCGTTCTTCCATTGATATCCTTTCATACATTAACTGGTTCACGGCTGGTGTATGTCAGCTACTACCACCAGTGTTTGAGGATTATACTGGAATAAAGCAGGATACAATGGTCACTATGTCTGCACAGGAAACAGCCTTGGCTCACTCATTCTTGGATGTTGTATATCAGGCGGTTGCAGATGCTACATCTACCCAAGTAAATATTATGGGCCGATTAATGGCTCTAGAACGGGCATATATGTTGAATGGTGTCCAAAACATCCCCGATTCGGCCAAAGATGACTTATTGCTGCAACCTGTTGAGGCATCTTCCATCTTCAATGGTAAATGTAGCCAAGCCATTTCGTCTCAGGATGCAGAGGTCTCACGTCAACCAACAATTAGCGTTTTGGCACTCTTGGCTCAGTCCTGATCATCTCGACCACCCACTCGCGGTAGAAGGGGATCATCGCTCTCTCTCCCTCCCTCCCCCTTCCACGCTATCAACGCTCAGCTTTCGACAGGGTTGCTACTTAGTCTGATACACCACGCCCTATGGCTCAGCGCGGTCTACCTCCATCTAGGTCAAGGGGTCAAAGGTCTTTTCGAGCCTCCCGCTCCTTGCCTTGCCAACAATGACTTATCCATTCATGCAATACAGTACTCAGATCCTTACGATTCGGAAATGCCCACGGACTCGAATTTGATTATGGAATACAACCAACATCTCCAGTCGGCAGCCAACTGGCCCAATATCACGGCAATTGGACACAGGTCACGGATGATCCCTGGATCCTCTCTGTTGTTCAAAAGGGTTATTATCTACAGTTCGA